TATTCATTAATTTTCATTTTCATGTAGTAAAGGCTCTATGCCTTCATAAAGGACGTACTTTTCCTTTGTTTAAGGGTATTCGGGCAGTTTATTCTCTGTTATATTCTCAAGTAAACAATACATACAAGTACAGTACAGTATTTTCTGAGGAAACACTCGCACTTATTTTTTTTAACCCCATTCCCGATAACCCGGCATTTTCACAAACTCGGCCACCCTTCGGTCCACATTAGGCCGAGTTTCCGAGGTTCTACTGTACTGTTAAAAATGCTTTTATATAATAAACTAAGTGCAAATATAATAAATGAAGTCATGATATGTACACAATCTTGATTTCGAACAACAAATCAAAGATGCAAAAATTTATCAAAGCATTTCTTTAATATAAGTTATAGAAGTATCTTAACTCTGTTTTTACTGTTATTTTTGTCATTAAAATGCTTTTATAATAAATAGATAAATTATTAATATATGATGATTTCATGATTATATTTTTATACTTAATATTGTTTTTTAAAAAATAAATTTTATAAAATCTTCTAGAATATTGTAAGTATTAAATTGAAAAGTTTTGTTTTCCATAAAACAATCAAAAACATACACTGGCATGCAAAACTTAAGCAACTATGTAATTTTTAAACAGATAGCCTTGAAATTGTAAAAAAGGGCTTGTTGCGATCAGTACAATGAACACCCATTTCACTAGAAAGGTGATTCGTATGCAAAAAAAAGACATCATAGGTGATATGAGGGCACACAAAATGCATGCAGTCAGCAATGTGCAGTGCAAGACTACAAATAAAAAGAATGCTTTGATTCCATACTGTATGCATTCTATTCATTTTTGCACTAGTATGCTTTCTTCATCCTATAAGTATTTGCAAAATATTGTCTCTGTATTCTGAATTTCATGTTTCCTAGGTGATTTCTTGCAGAGTTACAGCAAAAAAAAAACAATTGTTGCTTAAGTTTTAAGTTTTGCACACCAGTATAGCATAATACTACAGAAATTACTCCTTTAGAATTCTTTTTCTTTAAAAAGAATTCTAAAGGAGTGATTTCTGTAGCTTTTGAAAAACTTTTCTAAAAAAAATAGATTTTTGCCCTTTTTTTTTAAATTGTAACACTACAAAATAATCTACAGACAGATTTTCTCTGAAAACAGTTCTGATGAAAAAAAATAATTATTTCTATATTATTACTTCATTTTGAAACTGCTCAACTTAAACATGGACTGTGTTAGAATTCAGTAGAATTGAATTGTTTGAATTTGAAAAAAAATTTTTTTGTTTTTGGAATGTTCTGAAGAAATGCAAGATTTTTTCTGGCATTTAGTCTCAAATGGCATTCAATTAAAAAATTGTTTGAAGAGGATTTGAATCATTGAAAAAAATTGTTTACAATAAGTTTGAATATCCCTTTCCAGAAGTTTTTTTTTTTTTTTGGTGTGACGTAGACTGTGTTTGTGAGAGAATTATGCATTAGTTGATAGAACAAACTGTTTTGTATTGTTTTATACAAGCAGTTTGCATAAATTTATGAAAAGAAACTGTTGGTGTTTGTTGAAACTGAAAAACAAAGAAAAAATTCTCTTTCTAGTTAACTTTAAGCTGACTCACAAATTAGAAAAGAATAACTGGTATTCAAGATAATTTTTTAACATTACTAAAATATCCTATTTAGTTTTGAAGATCAGATTTATAAATCTGAAAATATTTAAGATGTATTTATCATTTGTATTATCACTTATCTCCTAAAAAAACTAAGTTTTGCTGGTAGTTTAAATATGCAATAAACTTCTAATCCATATTAATAAATAATTAGTAACATACTTAATTTTTTAAAATCTATTAATGTATTTAAAAACATCAATATACCAAATTTCAGTAATGTTGCATCATGTTGATTTTCAGGATAAACGAAGCCATTGTGGATAAAGAATTCTGCATTTTTTCGAGCACCATAAAAAATGTAAACCTAGGAAAGAAAGTTGTTAACATTTAAAATCACATTTGATGTAGTTTGAAATTAATTAAATTAAAATTATGTATAAAAAATTTTAAGAGAAGAATTATAATGTTAAATTATACAATCATCATAAAAATTTTAAAATTAAAACATTATATATACTTTTTCTAATTATTAAAGAAATGAACTTTCCTTATTAAAATATCTAATCCTTAAAAAAAGAAATAAAAGTATTTATATTTGAAGTAATCACAACCGAATTCTAAACTATAGTCAATAGTTGAGCTACATAATTGATTGTGCTGTTTGTCACCTGAATACAAAATTAATTGTAAAAGCATAATAAAATATGAAACTGTATTGTTACAGAAAACAGTTAATATAACTATCTTTTCTACTTATTTCAAATTATTAATTATTTATTTAAATAAACACAAAATGAAATATCATACAATNTATAAAAAAGAAATAAGTTTTTCTTAATAATGAAAAAAAAATCACAAAATTTTCAAATTCAGTCATTTGAAATCCTAAATTATATTAATTTAGGATTTCAAATGACTGAATTTGAATAAAATATTGAATTTGAATAAAATATTGAATAAAATATTGCAAAATTAATATTGCTGTGATTTTTTTATAATACTGTTAAAAATGCTTTTATATAATAAACTAAGTGCAAATATAATAAATGAATGAAGTCATGATATGTACACAATCTCGATTTCGAACAACAAATCAAACATGCAAAAATTTATCAAAGCATTTCTTTAATATAAGTTATAGAAGTATCTTAACTCTGTTTTTACTATTATTTTTGTCATTAAAATGTTTTTACTATTATTTTTGTCATTAAAATGCTTTTATAATAAATAGATAAATTATTAATATATGATGATTTCATGATTATATTTTTATACTTAATATTGTTTTTTAAAAAATAAATTTTATAAAATCTTCTAGAATATTGTAAGTATTAAATTGAAAAGTTTTGTTTTCCATAAAACAATCAAAAACATACACTGGCATGGAAAACTTAAGCAACTATGTAATTTTTAAACAGATAGCCTTGAAATTGTAAAAAAGGGCTTGTTGCGATCAGTACAATGAACACCCATTTCAGTAGAAAGGTGATTCGTATGCAAAAAAAAGACATCATAGGTGATATGAGGGCACACAAAATGCATGCAGTCAGCATGTGCAGTGCAAGACTACAAATAAAAAGAATGCTTTGATTCCATACTGTATGCATTCTTCATCCTATAAGTATTTGCAAAATATTGTCTCTGTATTCTGAATTTCATGTTTCCTAGGTGATTTCTTGCAGAGTTACAGCAAAAAAAAAAAACAATTGTTGCTTAAGTTTTAAGTTTTGCACACCAGTATAGCATAATACTACAGAAATTACTCCTTTAGAATTCTTTTTCTTTAAAAAGAATTCTAAAGGAGTGATTTCTGTANTATTATTTAAATAAATAAATAAATAGTGTCAAAGTTTATGGTTCAAAAATATATTTCCAGGTCATGGAAAGACTGTCTACGTCTCTAAAATTAATACACATTCGTTTTTGTGAGCTTTAAATATTTCTATCATTTCCAAGTATCGGAGGTCGCTAAGATTTCTATTAGGTTGTATTATTGATGCATCCTCCCATGCAACTCTTACGTCCTGCTCTCTGGCATAGTTGGCTAAGATTATGTTGTTTGTGTTCTTGTTAATTGTATTTTTATGTTCCTTGAGTCTTGCTTGCAAACTCCTCATTGTAGCTCCCATATATGTATGTTATATTAAATAAATAAATAAAAATAACTGTATTTCGTTTATTTTAAAATTTTAATTATTGAATTTTATTTTCTTTATTTAAATTTTATATTACATTCATTTAAGTTTACAAATTTGGAAGTTCTATTCTGTTTGATTTTAATCTCAAAATGCTATTTATATATTTGATTTGTTAATCCTAACTGAGGAAGACCTATGAATAGGTCAAAAATATTTTTATGATATTAAACTACTACTGGAAATCAAAAGGTGAATTTCCTTAAATATCTTTATATCGAAAAGAATAATATGAAAAAACTGATTTTAAGAAAATCAAATCCACAAAGCAATCTTCACATTCGTGTTTGTTAACTAAGATACAGTTATCAGGAAAATATAAACGAGTTTCTGTTATTAAGTATTGTCTGGTAAAGTATTTTGTGGGCATATTGTACTGGAATTTGGAGAATATTTTCTTCAAATCATGCACAAAAAGAAATTTTACGAAAAAAAAAATTAGTTTCAATTTTGCTCCTAAGAATTAAAACCGCGGTAGAAATACTCAAAAATTCTTTTCATTTTTTAAAAAATTTATCAATATAAAAAAAAAACTTATTTTTAATAACCAAAAACAAGTTAGTAAGCTAATTATATGTCGTACAGCTAAATGGTAGAGCTAAAGTGAATACATTATACACTAAAATACCTAAATATGATATAAGTTTAGTAAATTAACCAAAATATCCCAAATAAATGTGTCAAAACTATTTTATTTGCTTAGCTTTAAAATCAGTAAATATAAATATATATTTTATATCATTTGATTTCATCATGTTTGTAAATGATATTTATATCCATTCTAAATCTAACTTGAATCTATCAAGGAGTCAGGAACCTTTTGTGATACTAAGAGCCAAATCATGAAAAAAATGAACTAAAAATAAAATTTTAGCAGTACAATTACATTTTCAAACAATAAAAATATCAATATAATTTAAAACTATTTAAATGCATTGTAATAATGCATTGATAGATAAATGTAATGATTTCACTTATTAATACATTTTTCAAATTTGTATTCTCTTATTCAAACTCAATATATATTTAGCATTCAGATTTTTATTCATTAGTCTGTACCAATATTTATTAAAAATCAATGATATAGAAGCTTAATTAAATTATCAATTTATTAAATTATTTGAATAATTAAGATATTAACTTTTGTGAATAAGACTCTTACACATATTTCTTTACCATTATTATTCTGTGGTAAAAGTTTTTTTTTATAATAATTGTTAAACATAAAGAATGACTCTGTCGTATCAAGCATAAAAGTGAACAAATTTAGAAAGATTAAATTTTAATAAATAAAAATATTTTTAAAGTTTCTTTTTTGTTTCATTTTCAGATTTAATGCCAAATATAATTATCAGGAGAAATGCCAAAATAATTATTTTACATTGATGCAATTAAATGCATTGATTATAACAAATAAATTTAAATTATTCTGTTGTTATTTTGACTTATTTCAAATTACAATAAAGAATATGAAAGAAGAAACTTTTTTGTACGAGTTAATTTTTTTTAATGTTTAAATCTTACTTTTCCATTAATGTGATTAGCCATATCCCACAAAGGTATTAATGCCGAAATAAAATTATTTCCATCCGAAGAAGGAACTGCATTTTGTCTAGTCATGACTGTCGATACTGCCCATCTGGAAATACACATAGTTTTTGTTAATTTAAAACATTTATAATAAACATTATATTTTTAAAAAAAACTTCACTTTCCACATAAGTTAGACAGTACAAAAATAAAAAATAAAATTTTGTTTAATTTTATTTATAAACAAAAAAAAAAAAAACTTATAAACAAGCAGTAATTAACTGATAGATATCTTATTTTCTATAATAAACAAAGCATTACTGAAGAATTTGATGCTGATAAACTCAAACATAGAGCAATATATCATATCAATTATACATTGATATATAAACTATTTATTTTACATAAAAATACTTAAATTATTTATAAACAAAACTAATGATAAGTTTTCAATGATACAGATTAATTGGATAATTCTAAAATTTAATTAATTTCAGATAAAAAATGAGTGAAGACAATAAATTTTCTAAAAAATGAAATTAATTCACTTTAAATCCAAAATTAATAAATTTTTAAGATAATTTTCCATTAATTTACATTTCCCATGAAAACTGTGAGTTAAGCAAGAGTTCACATACTATCCTTATGATTAAAACATAACCACAAAAAAAAAAAAAGGGAAGGGAAGGAAAGAAAATCAACATGTGCTATTAATTTCAATTTCACAGAACTCTTTTAAAGAAAACCAAACTCAAAGTGCAGAGTAAATCATAAGCTCTGCACTTTAATATAAAACCTTAATACTTCTTACACTTGATGTTAATATTAAAAAAACTGTGGAAATACAAACGAAAGTAATTGGATATGTTTATTTCTTTCTGTGGACCATGTCCCAGGGGCACACGTGCCTCGTTATGTTAAATCTCTCCTCTTTCAGAAGGGAGATGTCTGTTATAATTTCCCCCCTTAACATTTCTTTCTAACTTTTGTCCTTCGCTTGTCATGTTTCTATTAATGGCTCTTACATTCTTTTTATATATATATATATATTAAGAGTAACAGCAGTTAGTGAATGAATAGAAAAAGAAAATTTTATTTTTTTATTTATTTCTTTGTAAGAAAAATGTTACTATATTAGCGTAAGCTTATAAAATGGAACCAAAATCTCATTCCAAAAACTTAATATCTAGAATTTTTATGCAATTCTACATTTTAAAGGGTTTTAATTAGATTAATGACGCTCTAATTCTTTCTTTATTTAAACCACTTTTTTGGGTCATTTATTCTTTCAAATGGCCACAATTTATGTTCAGTATAAATTTATTTCCTAAGTCTAGATTTGTAATTAATTTTCCATTAAAAAAAGGATGTTTCAAGTACACGATGCATGAAAATAGTTACAAAAATTCAATTACAAAAGCCATAAAGAACATTAGATAAATAGGATTCTCTTGAAAGAACTCCACAGCAAAAAAAAAAAAAAAAGTTTAATATCTGATAACCGAATCTATTAAAGCGCAACCCAAAACTCATTAAACAACAACTAATAATACATAAATAAATTAATAATGCTCGATGCACTTGTTAATTTATTTTCCTTAATGTACTAAGAAAGGAAAGGAAAAAAAACATTATTTTCTTCTTCCTCCTAATGATAAATATTACCAAATTTTGACAATCTCGAATATA